GAAATATACAATAGAAGTGAACACTATTCAATTGGTAAAACGCACACTTTGTTTATTGCACGCTTCACTATACCGCTAATTGTTTTCACGGAAACTACCCGCACATGCCCGTCACTGCCCGGATGGAGCTCTTGAATTCGGCCCATCTTCCACGCAAGCGGGGGCAGGTTGTCCTCCTTGAGCACAACGAGTGCTCCTGGTTGGAGTTCTTCCTTCGACGCCGCCTTCCACTTCGTGCGTTGTTGCAACTCGTTCAAATATTCTAAGGACCAGCGTCGCCAGAAATGCTGTTTAATTTGTTGAATGCGCTGCCAATGATTCAGTCGATTGGATGGAACATCGACCAAGTTTTCTTGAGGCAACGCAATTAGTGGACTCCCGATTAAGAAATGGCCAGGAGTTAGAGGTGATAGGTCGTTGGGGTCATTTGAAAGGGGTGTCAAAGGACGAGAATTCAAACATGCTTCGATTTCAAGTAATAGGGTATAAAACTGATCGTAATTCAGCAATGCGTTTTTCGTCACTCGACTAATGTGGTATTTTGCTGACTTAATACCCGCTTCCCATAAACCGCCCATATGAGGGGATCTACTTGGTATAAAATGCCAGTGAAGATTTTGCATTTCTAATTTATTGGTTAGTTCACCGAAAGCTTGTGATTGAAATAATTTACTTAATTCGTTATTACTCCCTACAAAATTAGTTGCATTGTCCGAGTACATGTCAAGAACCTTGCCACGACGGGCTACCATGCGATTAAGTGCACTCAGGAATGTTTGACTTGAACAATCGCAAACTAATTCAATGTGAATTGCCTTTGTGGCCAAACAGATAAAAAGAGCAATATATGATTTGATTGATTTTGAAGTTCGTAAAAAACCATTTTTGATAAAAATGGGACCAGCATAGTCGACTGCACAATTGAAAAATGTTTGTTGTATTCGAGCTCTAGGCAAATTACCCACCAATTGATTAAGGGAAGTTGGTTTTGCTTTAAAACACGGGACACATTTTAAAACACTCCTTACGGCATTACGCCCGCTCAAAGGCCAAAATTGTTGTCGTACAGTGGCTAGTGTGCATTGACTTCCTGCATGTTTTAGTTGCCTGTGTATGTCTGTTATTATTATTTTGGTAATATGATGGTTTTTTGGGCTTACATAAGGATGTTTTTGTGCTTCTTGCAAGTCAGAATTAACTAGTCTGCCGCCTACTCGGATTAGACCATGGTTATCCAAAAATGGGTTTAATGAAAATAACTTGCTTGGTTTATTAACCTGCCCGTTATTGGTTAATTGTGCAATTTCGCTAGACAATACTTGTGTCTGAAGCAGTTTAAGTATACATCGCCTAGCATTTTCAATCTCCTCAAATGTAAATGGTTTCGGTTTTTGCAAAGATAAACTTGCTTTGTGTTTAGGTTGATTAAGCTGGGTCTGTTTTCTCAGAGTATTGTGTTTGAACCTCAAAATCCATGCTACAATAGTTATTAATTTCTTAAATGAGGAAAACCTATATAAAATTGAATAATCAGTTACACTGTGCGTTTGTGCGGCAATCAGTGTAGTTTTCCTGTTTGGAACATCGGATAAATTATATTGAGGAGTTGTGGGCCAATATGAATTATGTAATTTTAAAAAATGTGGACCCTCCCACCAGAGTGGTGATTGGATTAATATGGAAAATAAATCTAATTGGATTGTTGGGCCAGTCATTAGTAATTGATTTAAATTAACCCCATTGGATGAACTTGCAGAACCGTTGAAAACCACTCGCACCTTGGTGCTAATACTTGTTTCCTTTATTACTGGATGGTGACTAAGATAAAAGCGATTTTCTTCCAGAGGGTCTGGGGTATTTATTACCTCCATGTGTCCCTGTTCAATGTATTCGGTCATAAATTTACTGTAATCATTATGAAGCTTAGGAGCTTTCACCAACCGCCTTTCTAATGAGTAAAATTTTGAAAGAGTTCCGTTGAAAGAATTACCTGGCTCCAGGTGGCAGTCTTTAAAGGGTAGTTTTACTATAAACCTACCGGAAACATCCCGTTTGAAGTTTGCCGAAAAATGATTTTCGCATAATTGTTCTTCCTTGGAGAGAGGCTTACTCATGGGTATTTCCTCAATTTGCCACAATTTAGCTACCTGAGTTTCTAATGAATTAACTGCCACATTGCACGATACTTGTTTAATCCTTTCCGGAATTTTAAGTTTACCACCGAAAACCCAACCCAGTTTTGTTTCTCGGAGGGACGGTAAATCTGTACCAAAACTTAATGAACCGGCTAAAATTAGTTCCCAAAAAACTTCGTTGCTAATTAGCAAATCGACAGGTCTAGATTTATGAAATTCAGGATCAACCAACTGGATATTATTTGGAATTTTGAATATGTTATGCGAAAAATTGAATGGCGGGGTGTTTCTTGTGATCTGCTCTAAAATTAAGCAATTCAGCTGTGTAGTAAATGAACTAACTCTGGACTTGATTGTAACGTTTACACTATTGTTAATAATTGTAGGAGATGAATTCTGAGGGTTAATTCCAGATATTTGCACCTTAGTCGGTGAGTTATCCAATTCAAGTCTATCAGCTAAAGATTTTGTAATAAAATGTGACTCCGATCCTCCATCTAATAAGGCACGACAGAAATGATAATTATCATACTTGTCTTTTATGTATACAAGTACAGTTGATAACAGTACTTTAACATCCTTTACTTGCGAACCGAAATTTGTTAAAGTGGTGCTAGTTTGAGGTTCTACTGTAGGTTCAGTTGGATTGTCAAAATGCAGAAGCGAATTATGTTTTTCTTTACATATTTTGCAAGTATAAGAAGATCGCCAAGAATTTAAAGAATGTGATTTTAAGCAATTAACGCACAATTTTAATTTGTTGATCTGTGACCGACGTTGCTTGACAGCTAATTTTAAAAATTCTTCACAATGATAAATAAAATGATTACCCTTACAGTGAGGACAACTTAATTGATACTTGTTTGCGATATGAACAGATTTGTGGTTGACGGGGCTTGTTTTTGGATTAAATTGTTGTGTTTTAAATAACTTATTGGATTCTAATGACTCCAATAATTGATACCTTTTCGTTAAAAATGCTTTCATTTGAGCCATTGTTGGCAATTCAGTTCCTACTAATGAATTTTCCCATTCTCTAGTTGTAATAAAATCGAATTTAGTTGTTACTAGATAAATTAAGATTGGGTCCCAACTTTGAACTTCTAATTTCAATGCTGCAAGAGCTTTCAAATTTGAATTTAATTTATCTGTAAACATGCGGAGTGCGTTAGCAGAATCTTTTGTAATATTAGGTAAATTGAACAATTCACGCATGTGATTTTTGACTAAAAGATTTTTGTTTTCATAGCGTTCTTTTAATAATTCTAAAGCAACTTTATAATTTTCATTGTTGATACACAAATCGGAAATTATATTACCAGCTTCTTTTTTAAGGCATGATTTTAAATATTGTAATTTTTGGACATCACTTAATGTTTTGTTTTCGTGAATAAGTGATTCAAACGTATTATAAAAATTAGGCCACTGTGTTATTTCACCATCAAAATTTGGAATTTCTAATGTTGGTAATTTAACTTGAATATTATTGGTAGGTTGTAAATTAGGATTTGGTGATACCGATCTTTGTGAATCGGGTTGAAATTTGGAAATAAGATGTTGTGAGCGTGTGATTACTCTATAATATAAAGATTCGTATTGTTCACGGGGATCACTAAGGGGTTCTGACGAAGTGCTCTCTTCATCAGTTTGGCCAATAGAGGAATTTTCTAATGACTCGATAATTATTTGCAATTTATCTAACTCGTCTAATAAAGGCTTAATGCGTGTTAGTCTGTATTTAAGTTCTACAACATCATGTTCAGAGTTAACATTATTTAAGAAATTATCGTACCTATTGAGCTGGTTAATGATTATTTTTTGTTGATTCTTATTGTGCTGTAACTTTTCTATCATTTTGGGAGGCATATTAGCGAATAACGAAATGCAGTATTATTGATCGCGAAATCGAAATCGACACTTATCGAATTCTCGAATTATGGATTGGATAGGAAGTGAAATGATGGAGTCCACTAACCTTGTCTCTGGTTCTGGAGATGGTGTTCCTCCTGCCGTCCTGCGGGATTGATTGCGGTGGTGACTCTCCGCCGAAGATGCTGTCCAAATTTGAAGTTGATTCCAACTCGGTGCAACGTGGTGGTGATCCTTTTGTAGGAATGCTGCCCACTGCTGCCGTCGCTTCCAGTTGATGATAATGATGTCGATTAGCGAAATGTATTTCTGCGCGATTTGATCCAACCCGGCTCGATATGGACCAATGTTTCGGCTCGAAGACCAATGTTTCGGCTCGAAGACCAATGTTCCGTCTTGACGTGCCAATGTTTCGTACAACCCGAATCGTAGTACCAACGTTTTTTGTAATTGTTGATACGACCATGTATGGTCTTCCGAATTGTACCTTGATATTGCTCGAAGGACCTTTGTTTGCTATAATTGAAATAATGGACAGCGTTCGGTTTTGATGTTTAATGTAGGACGGTTACAGAAGTACTAAAATTACAGAGCTATTTACAAAAACAGGTAAAGATACCCAAAAGGGTCAGTGGCCGCTTCCGGAAATGCAACACCGAGTCTTATCGCTACGTCACGCGAACGTCAGTGTATACCGTTTATTAACGATATTACGGAGTATTCTCCGTAATCTAAAAATACAAACCAAGATAGAATATATGCACCATTTCGTTATATCTTCAGCATAACAACGTAACTGGCTCTAATCAGAGTCGATCCATGAAACTACGGTACGTCGCACATTGCCATTCGCGCAGCTCAAGCTAAATAAAGGGGATAGTGTGGGAGATGCTCATCATGATCCTCTACCTAGTAGCTATTAATCTACTCCTTTGTTTCATGTTCTACCTAATCGTTCGGCCGCGGAGTACGAACCTTCATCACCAATACTACCAGACCGTCAGCCTTCAGGCCTGTTACATTCCTTGGGCCGCATCATGCGACACTCACTGATGGTGTCCGGAGGGTGTAGAAAATGCAACCATCCACGGAAAAATCCAGACCACGTCGCGGAAGAAACCACAACGTCCTAGCATATCATCCCTCGAGACTGGAGGGACGGACTAGCCAAACCCGGGCTCACCGCGTCCAGAAAGGAATAACTTAACATTATTATTCTTATTATAATAAAAGATATTAAACGTTTTACCCCATTTATTGTATTACTACTCCCGACGACAGTGTACTCAAAACTAATCGCTAACCGTTTTATTCTGCGTTTTTCTATTCACTCTCATGCTGTCACTGTTGGACCTGTCACTAAAGCTCTGTATCTATGTAGTTATTGGTCATCCGAGAAAATATATACAGGTGTCTCAGAAATAAATACATTAATTTTAATCAGTTATAGAGCTCATTGAACTTAACAACTTTTTTTTAATACAGTTTTGTCAAGAATTTTTTAATTATCAAGTTAAAAATTGTTGAAATTTTATTTAAGGTTACCCGCCCATGGATCCTCAGTCACCCATGGACACTAATAATTATTATAATTAACTAGCTGACCCGGTGAACTTCGTTTCACCTACAATTTAATTTTGAATCTGCAAAACCGAATGCTTTGAAAACTTACAGATGTTTTAAACATATGAAAAGCATAATAAATTTTTATTCAAAATATATTTACTTATCCCCTCCAAACAATTGATGACGTCAGCCCAAAATTTGCCAAATGAATCCTATCTAAAATGTCCAAAATGGGATGAGTCTATACTTGTGATTTATTATTCCATTCATATTTTTTAGATTTGCTTATATAGGGTGACTCAAAAAAATTAATGAATGGGTGAATTAATTTTATTGATTTAATCAGGAACTGCAAAACCGAATGGTCTGAAATCTTGGAGATGCTTTAATGTTATCATAAGCAAGGTAATTTTTTTATTAAAATGTATTTGTTCATTCCCCCTAAAAAATTGATGACGTCACCTGAAAATTTTGCTGAATAAATCCTATCTGAAATTTGCAAAATATGATGAGTTTTTACTTGTGATTTATCACTGCATTAATATTTTTTTAGTTTTGCTTAAACGGGGTGTCCCAAAACAATTAATCACTGAGTCAATTTATTTTATTGACTGAAAACCGTAAATAAACTTTATTATTCTGGATTCTTAAATTATGGGGGCTGACCGTAGCCAGCTGGCACTTAGGCCTCGCCTTTGGGCCCATTGTACCTTCCCCAAGTCTATATCAGGGTGTTTTCCCGCTCCTCTACTCGTCAAGCCACCCAACTGCTTGAATGTACCTGAGTAATGCAGAGGGTGGAAACTCCCTGATATTTGCCATACTAGGCCAGATGTCCCCTAGTATGGATTCCCTGTAGGAGGCTAGGGCTGGGCACTCACGAAGAATGTGCTCAGCTGTTTCCTCTTCTTCATTGCATCCACGACAGATCGGGTCTGTTACCACCCCTATCGTGTGTAGATGTTTGTTAAACTGGTAATGTCCTGTAAGGAATCCTACCAGTTTACGCAGTTTGTCCCTTGAAAGTGAGAGATAAAATTTCGTCAACTTACGGTCTGGCATCGCCATACAAGCTCTACTATGCCGACAGCTGCTCAATTTCACCCATATCTGCTCATGGCGTCTCTGGGTATATTGCTTTACGAGTTCGTTCGAGAGGGCGACCGAAGGCGTGATTGCCGGTTCGGGTCCCCAGAAGGGCATGCGCGCGGCTCGCTTCGCCATCTCATCTGCCCTCTCGTTTCCTTCGTTGCCACTGTGTCCTTTGATCCAACAAAGTTCCACACTATTCCTCTGCGTTACATACTTTAGCGTTTGTCTGCACTCCCAAACCAGCCCGGATCGAACTATACAGCTGTCCAGGGCTAGTAGTGCAGTTATTATTATCAAGAATTGTAAAACTGAATATTTTGAAATATTGCAGACGTTTTGAAGTTACTGTAAGCATGTTAGCTTTTTAATCAAAATATATCTGTTTATCAAGCCCAAAAACTTGATGACATCATCTCAAAATTTTGCCGAATAAATCCTATCTAAAATGTGCAAAATATCATCAGTATATATTCGTAATTTATCATTGCATTCATATTTTTAGTTCCCGAGCGTAAGCAAAGGAAGTATTGTAATCGAGTCCGTCGGCCGACTCTCTACTTTTACCTTTTCTCGATCTTTCATGATCCCTAGAAGACGAAGAAATAGGTCTCCCATTTCCGTCTGTCTGCCATCCCGGCTTTTTATAAGACAGATAATCTCCGAAAGTACTGGACCGATTGTTGTGAAATTTTGTACTTACCTATATTAGGAATATCATGTAGATGGTAAAACGCTAACCAAAATTTGTCTAATCATCCCCACCACTAATGCGATGACGTCACTTCAAAATTGTACATAGTAAATCGATTTTAAATTGTATAAAATAACATAGTCCTACACATGTGGTTTACGACTTCGAATTGAGTTTTTACCCGAAACGTCCAGATATTTGGAAAAAAATCAAAATTATAAAACAACATTTTGAAATTTAATTTTGAATCTGCTAACCTGAATGTTTTGAAATGTTGCAGATGTTTTAAGGCTATAAAGAGCATCATAAATCTTTAGTCAAAATATATTTGGTTATCCCTTCCAAAAACTTGATGACGTCAGTTCAAAAGTTTACCGAATAAAGCCTATCTAAAATGTGCAAAATATGATGAGTATGTACTTGTGATATATCACTCCATTAATATTTTTTGGATTTGCATATATAGGGTGACTCAAAAAAATTAATGAATGCGTAAATATATTTTACTGATTTACTCAGGAACTACAAAATCGAATGCTTTGAAATCTTAAAGATGTTTTAAAATTATCATAAGCATGGTAAATTTTTTATCAAAATGTATTTGGTCATACCCCCTAAAAAAATTTATGACGTCACCAGAAAATTTTGTTGAATAAATTCTACCTAAAATGTACAAAATATGGTGAGTTTCTTCTTCTCATTTATCATTCCATTCAAATTTTTTCGATTTCCATATACAGAGTGACTCAAAAAAATTAATGAATGCGTGAATTTATTTTATTGAGTTAATCAGGAACAACAAAACCGAATGCTTTGAAATCTTGCAGATGTTTTAAGGTTATAAAGAGCATAATACATGTTTAGTCAAAATATATTTGCTCATCCCCTCCAAAAAATTGATGACGTCAGCTCGAAATTTTGCCGAATAAAGCCTATCTAAAATGTCCAAAATATGAAGAGTCTATACTTGTGATTTAGCATTCTATTATGATTGTCAGTGTCAAAACGGTGCTAGGGTACCTTCTTCATTGTTGTAGTGCTGTTATTATTTAAGGTGAACATAGACGGCCCGTGAATATATGGGTGGGAAAATTCGAAATTCGACTTGAGTTTTCGAAAAAATGCTAGATAAAAAAGTTGTTCCGTTTCACGAGTTCTGTTACTGGTTAAAATTAATGTATTTATTTCTGAGACACCCTGTATAGTATAATCTTCTCGGTAATACAGACATTCGGAAACAACTACAGACCGCCTATATTAATAATATTCGGGCACATAACGTAAGGGTCGACATAAATAGCCATATATTACGCCGATTGATAATGTGCATAAAATTTTGTGGAGTGTTTGAACTTGCTTTACGTGGACATGAAAGTAGGGAATCACAAAATCCAGGTATATTTCGAGGTCTGATTGATTTTACGGCTGAATTGGACTCTACTTTATCAAATCGTTTGAAAGAAGCAACGGTTTTTCAAGGAACGCCTAAAACTGTTCAAAATGAACTTTTAGATGCCATGAACGTAAAATTTTAACCGAAGGCAAAAAGGTATGTGGAGAAATCCTTTTTTACTTTTATTGAAAGTATTTTTGTATTTATTTCCGTCACACAATTTCGTCTATTAATTGGTAATAACAAAATAACAACCTGTTTTATATTTTCATATTTAACTCATCAATCAAATTGTGCCCCCCCGTTTCAAAAGGTCACGAACCGCCACTGATATTTCGCTTTACACATGTGTTATCCATTTTCAGTTTATTTCGTCTGTTGCGCCGGCACGTAACACGATGTACACACACTTTATGCGTAGACTGGGCCCATAACCTCTAGGAAATGGGTTGATTATAACACAATTGTCCTTAAAGTGCGTGTATTAAAAAATGCGACCCGTTCGTTTTAAAAGCGTATTACGAACTAACTTTTGAGCACATAACAGCTTTTAAGATCACAAATACGCATATAAAATATAAAATTCAAACTGAAGTACTCAGCGTTTCTCAGGCGTGGTACATTTATCGCCCTTTATAAACAAATACTCAACAGTAAAATAAACAGAGAATATATGGGATACGGTCGTAATAATTTTTGCCTTCACGAATATCTCGAATTACAACATGATCGTCAATATCTTGTTGGTGAACATGCAATACTGCATACTTTTGATGTGTGTCATGTAATCAAGTGTTTATGAAATACTATGAAAAAGGTATACACCATTCTGACGGTACCGCCAGCTGGTGTTGCTAAGATGCTAAGGTAAAAGTCCCACTCAGTGATAGGGTCCCAGTGGATGATCAGACGTGCAAAAATATATTATCTTGAAGATGTCTGTTTGAAATCTGCATTTATTGCACTTTTGTACAATGAGATATTGGTAAATGGCAGTCTTAGTAAAAATCTGAAGTCACTTTCCAATTCAATTTCACAGCTTCTCTTGCGTAGATCGCTAAGCAAGTGTGTACCAAAATAATTTTATTATTTGGGTTTAAGCGTTAGTCAAATTAATGTTTGTACTCTTATAGCATGTCATTGTATGTTTGAAAAATCATTTAAAATATATTAATTCTCAATAGAATTAGGTTATAATCCATAAAACTGCAATTCATCTACTGGTAGTACTGGTACTCTTGCAGTACTTAATGTACCAGTGGTTGATGATGATTTCAAAATTCCAGTTCTGAAAGGAGTAATTTTAATGACAACGCTCAAAATTTTGATGAACATGTTGAAGAAATCACAGTGACATTAGAGATAGTGAGACAACTCAACGTGACAATCAAAATATTTAAGTCTTCCAATAACACCTGAAAAACAGAATGACAAATCATTAACTTACGTTCCATAGCCTTTCAAAAAGGTTCTGTTCTGGCTAAAAACTCTG